TGTTTGGCCCCTTTATCAAAAATAAGGTGGTTGAGTGTGTTTGTAGTTGTGGTTGTATCTTCTAATATATTCCATTGATCTTCAGCTCTGTTTTGATTCCAGTATTATGTTGATTTTACTACAGTTGCTTTGTAGTATAACTTCAAGTTAGGGATTGTTATGCCTCCTGCCTTGCCTTTACTGCTTAGAACAGTCTTTGCTAGGGGCTAGGGATTTAGCTCAGTGGCATAAGCACTTGCCTTGCAAGCAGGCAATTGTGCGTTTGATCCCCGGTACCGATAAAAACGAAAAAAAAAGAAGAACAGTCTTTGCTATTATAGGTCACTTCTGGTTCCAGATGAACTTGAGGAGTGATTTCTCTAGATCCATAAGGTATGGTGGTGTTATATTTATTGGGATTGCATTGATTTTGTATAGCAGTCTTGGGAGAATAGCCATTTTCTCAATATTTATTCTTCCTAGCCATGAGCAAGGGATGTCTTTCCACTTTCTGAGATGCTCTTCAATTTCTTTTTTCAGTGTATTATAATTTTCCTTGTATAGGTCTTTCACTTCTTTCATGAGAGTAATTCCTAATTATTTCATTTTTTTGGTTGCTAGTGTGAAGGGTGTGGCTTCTCTTATTTCTCTGTGATCTTGTTGTTAGTGTATAGGAATGATATTGATTTTTGAGTATTGATTTTGTATCCAGTTACATTGCTGTATTTATTTATTATATCTAGGAGTCTTTCAATGGAGACTTGGGGGTCTTCTATGTAAAGTATCATGTCATCCACAAATAATGATAATTTAACTTCTTCTCTTCCTATTTTTACCCCTTTTATTTCTCTCTCTTGTCTAATTGCTCTGGCTAGTCTTTCCAGTACTATATTAAATAGGAGTGGTGATAAGAGACATCCTTGTCTTGTGCCTGATTTTAAGGTAAAGACCTTCAATTTTTGGCCATTTAGTATGACACTGGCTGTTGGTTTGTCGTAGATGGCCTTTATTATATTGAGGTAAAGACCATCTATTCCAATTTTCTGTAAGGTTCTTATCATAAATGAATGTTGCATCTTATCAAAAGCTTTTTCTGCATTTATAGAAATGATCATGTGATTCTTACTTTTGGCTTTCTTGATATGGCGGATTACATTTATTGATTTATGTATGTTGAACCATCCCTGCATGCCTGGGATGAATCCCACTTGGTCATTGGTGTATAATCTTTTTGATGATTTGCTTCATCCTATTTGCCAATATTTTATTGAGGATTCTTGCATCTGTGTTCATTAGGAAAATTGGTCTGTAGTTCTCTTTTTCAGTTGGGTGTTTCTCAGGTTTTGGTACTAGAGTAATATTTGCTTTCAGGAATGACTTAGGAAGGATTGCTTCCTTTTCAATTTCATTGAAGAGCTTGAGGAGTGTCAACATTAAGTCTTCTTTGTATTTCTTGTAGAAATACACAGTGAATCTGTCTGGGCCTGGGCTCTTCTTTGTAGGTAAAGACTTAATTACATTATTGATTTCATTAATACATATTGGGTTATTTAATAGTTTTACATCTTCTTGACCTAGCTTTGGTACTTCATATATATCTATTTCTGCTACTTTATCAAACCTATGAGAGTAGAGGTTTCCAAAATAGGTGCTGATGATCTTCTGTATTTCAACAGAGTCTGCAGTGATTTCTCCTTTTTCATTCCTTATTGCATGAATTTGAGCTTTTTCTTTCCTTTTTTAAATAAGGTTGGCTAGGGTCTTATCAATTTTATTCATTCTTTCAAAGAACCAACTCTTTGATTCATTGATTCTTTGGATTTTTTTCTTAGTCTCTATTGCATTAATTTCCACTCTGACTTTTATAATTTCATCCCTTCTTTTGGCTTGTGCTTGACTTGCTCTTCTTTTTCTAGATGTTTGTGGTGTAACATCAGGTTATTTATTTGTATTCGTTCTGCTTTCCTGATGTGGGAACTCAGTGCAATAAATTTCCCTCTGAGGACAACTTTCACTGCATCCCACAGATTCCGGTAAATTGTATTTGTATTTTCGTTTGCTTGTAGGTATTGCTTAATTTCTTCTTTAATTTCCCCTGGGACCCACTGATTACTCAAGAGTGTATTATTCATTTTCCATGTGTTTGTGGGATTTTTGCTGTATCTTTTATCATTAATTTCTAATTTCATGGCACTATGATCCAATAACATACATGGGATAATTTCAACGCTTTTGCATTCATTTAAATGTGTTCTGTGGGCTAATATATGATCTATTTTAGAGAATGTCCCATGTACTGCTGAGTGTATTCTGATGTTACTTGGTGGAACACTCTGTATATATCTATGTTCATAGATGTGATTCAGTTCTGTTATTTCTTTGCTGATTTTCTGTCTGGTTGATACATCCCTTGGTGTCAATGGTGTGTTAAGGTCTCCTGTTATAATTGTGTTCCTGCTAATTTGGTTTTTCATTTCTGTTAATACTTGCTTTATATAACTGGGTGCTCTGGAATTTGGTGCATATATATTTAAGATTGTTATCTCTTCCTCTTGAAGTTTTCCACTAACCAGTATGTAATGACCTTCTTTATCTCTTCTGATCATTATTGGCTTAAAGTTCACATTGTCTGCAAACAGAATAGCTACCCCTGCTTTTTGGGGGGGTTCCTGCTGCATGAAGTATTGCTTTCCATCCTTTGACTTGCAGTCTGTAAGTATCCTTTTGGTTTAGATGGGTTTCTTGTAGACAGCATATGGTTGGATGTTGTTTCTTGATCCATTCTGCCATTCTGTTTCATTTAATTGGTGCATTGATACCATTTACATTAATGGCTATAACTATTATACGTTGGTTTACCGTTGACATATTATCTTTCTGCTGTTGAATCTTTATCTTTCTGTTCTGTTTAATTGTCTGCTTTGCTAAGTGGTTTTTTAAGTGTATCTAAACTGTCTTTCAGTATTCTTTGCAGGGTTGGCTTGGTGATCATGAAGTTCTTCAGCTGTTCGTTGTCATGGAAGTATCTTATTTCTCTGTCCATTTTGAATGACAGTTTTGCAGGGCACATCAGTCTAGGTTTAAAATCATTTTCCTTTAGGATCTGAAATACTTCACTCCATGCTCTTCTTGACTTTATTGTTTGTGCTGAGAAGTCTGCTGTAATTCTGATAGGTTTTCCTTTATAGGTGATCTGTCTTTTCTCTCTGACAGCTTTTAATATTCTATTCTTATGTTGGATTTCTGGGATGGTGCTTATTATATGTCTGGATGTAGTTTTATTTTGGTTATGACTATTTGGAGTTCTATATGCTTCACTGATCCTGATATCAGTTTCTGTTCTCATGTTTGGGAAATTTTCAGCTGTTACTTCTTTAAATATCCTCTTGACATCTTTTATGTTGTCCCCTTCTCTTTCATTTATCCCTATCAATCTTATGTTGTTTTTCTTTGCATTATTTTGCAGCTGTTGAATTGTTATTTCCTGATTCCTTGTTATTTTTAAAAGATCTTTCCTTTCCTGTTCACTAGCTGCAATCCTGTCTTCAAGGTCTTAAATTCTATCTTCACTTCCATTGAGGTGGTTTTTACAACTTTCAATGGAATTTTTGATTTCCTGTATATCTCTTTGCATCTGCTTTATGTATTCTGTTTCTTATATTGTTCATACAGGGATTCTATCTTTTTGTTTAGTTCCTCCAATTTTTTAACTGTGTCTTCTTTAGATATGTTCAGCATGTCTTTCATTACTTTTATCATTTCTTCTTTTACCTGGGAGATTATTTCTAGTTTGAATTCCTTTAAGGCTTCCTGGAGTTGCTTCTTTATTTCAGTTGCTATTATGTCTGATATTTCAGGTGTATGGCATATATTTTCTTCTATGTACATAGCTCCTAAGGTTTCTTGGGATGGGCTGGAGGTTTGAGGTTGTATTTTGGTCTTTTGCTTTATCATTTTCCTATATTTCTATGCTTCAAGTATTGTTCCAAGGCTTCCCCTGGATGTGTTGGAAATCGTCTCTTGTGTCCTAGGCTCATGGGATGAATGGAAGTTGCTGAGCCTAATCCAGTTAGGCCCTCAGGCCCTCCTGTGCCACCTTCAGTATTTCAGGTAGCTGGGCAGGCACCTAACCACTGGGGATGATGGGTTGAAGCTCTCCCCGGGTGAAGACCAATGCCCTGGAACTCACTTCACCTACTCTCAAATCCTGTAATTGAAGAAGGTCACCGAGCAAAATATAGTTGGTCCATAAAACCTCCCAAGGCTAGTCCAGTGTGCCTGGGCTCTGGATGGGTCCTTGAGCTCCGGAAGAGATGATCTTAAAGTCTCCCAGGGCTCAGGGTCGCACAAATTTACCTCCACCACCACTGAGTTTCCTGGTTTGGGAGAAGGTTACTGGGCATGTCCTGGGCAGGCCTGAAATGTGCCAAGCACAGCCCAGTGTGGCTGGGCTCTGGGCATGTCCTTGAGCTCTGGAAGAGATGTTCTGAAAGTCTACCCGGTGATCAGGATGGCTCGGATTCACTCCAGCCACCAGCTGAGTTTCCCGGTTTGGAGAGTATCCAAACCTCCATTTTGTTTCATAGGTTATTTACCCTTCACTTACCCATTCTCTTGGAATATCAGCCCTCAGAGCACTGATCATTCATCTTGGCACCAACAACAGTAGCAGCAAGTCACGAGGCAAACACTGGGCACTAACATGTTTGGTTGGTGGATGGATGACGGGTAGATGAATGATGGTCTTGAGGGCAATGAATTAGCAGAAAAGTTTTTGACAGTCTTTCAGCCACTCCCTTTGCTTGGATGCTTAATCATGTGGTTCCCAGATCTACAGCATATAGGATAGACCTAGGAGCTGTAAAGTGTATATTTCTGGAATATGCTTCCTTCGGACTTCTGGTTCAACAGATATGGTGGGGGTCCAGGTATCTATATTTTAGTAGTTACCTCCACACACACATAGGTTTCTGATTCATGTGATCCAAGGGCCATGCCCAAGGAATGTCAGCCTGACTCACCTGAGTGTCACATTGGCACTGTACTCTCAATTGTTCTATTTTTGCAGCACTCAGCATCCTTTTCAGGCATGGTTCAACTTACTCAGACAACCTGCAAGAAGAAAACAGTCCCAAGACTTATAAATTTCCAGAGAGCTGTAACATCGGTAATAATGATATATTAAGTACCTAACAAGTCTTAGGTATTCTGCTCAGTGCTTCTAGGGATAGTTGCTCACTTTATCCATAAGAAACCCTAATACAATAGGTACTATAACAAATGAAGACATGGAAACACAGAAAGACCAAGTAGCCTGTATGCGGTAAGGCTGATTTCAAAGCCAGGTTGATGTCACCTCAGAGTCCCAGGATCATAATATGTGAAGGTGATGTCCAGACAATTACACACCTACCGTAATAATAAGAGACTAATTGGGTCAAACTAAAGCAAAAAAAAAAAAAAAAAAGCCCAGCTAGATCCAAAGAGCTTCATGGAGGAAAACATAAGAGAAATGAGAATAGCATTGGACACAGTGTGAGCATTCTGGATTCAAATCTCAGTGTTGTCAATACAAAGACAGACACGGTAAATGTATGATATAGCTGATTCTGTGCCAACCTCTCACAAAACACTTGACAAGAGCCACTTCTCCCAACTGATTTGGGAAACATGGGCTATGCCAAGTCAAAGCTAACAGGAATTGTAAGGGAGCCAATGTCATTGCTTTTAATTCTGTAACCTATGTGACATGGGAAAAGTCATTAACCTCTTTGAGCATTGATTTTCTCACCAGTAACATGAAATAATAACTACCTTTCTCACAGAGTTGTCATGAGGTTTAAGCAAGATAATACAAATAAAAACAACATTAACAATATATATTATCACAATAAACTATTACATGCTTAGTATATGGATGCAGGAATTTTTCTAAGGAGTTTACAGTCTCTTGATCAATAAAAGCAAATTTATGATCTCTCTGCAAAGTGATCGCACACCCTCTTCTTGAATTCACTATGAAGAGTAACTCATTAACTTCCAGGCTGTTTCTCTGGAGTACAATCTTTAAAGTGGTAGAAATCATCCCTTCTCATCTACTGAAGTAATTCTAGCACTTGGATATTTTTTTCAGCAAATAATTTCTCAAAAGTCCTATGAGTGAGTCTTATGAAGGATTAAACAGCAGATTTGCTGTTATTAAGACAGTTAACACTGATTGAAGAACACAGCATTAATATTTAATAATAATTGCATGGATGGAGCACCTGAACAGCATTCTGTTGAAATTATTTCATTTAAATTGCAAGGTAACACGATAAGATGCATACTGTTTTATTATGACACCTGTCTTGCACAAATACAAGCTGCAGCCTGCTGAAATCCCTGAGAGTTGGGGAAACATAGATTTCCACCAGGCATGCAAACACTCTCACAATGCTGCATCACCTGTATGGGATGCTACACTGAAAGGACTCCAGCAGTGAGACTCCTTAGCTTTGCAATAATCAGTTCTTCATCAAAATGCTTTCACTACACCCAGAGTGGAATACACAGAGCCAGAACTTTAAGGACCTTAATGTCTTGGTGCTGTCATATACTTTCACTGAGCTTGCCAGATCCCACCTTAAATAACAGATGATGCCCTAGAGTTCCAGTTTTGCCCGAAGTTGCGGATGGTAGGTGGCTAGTTAGCATGTCAGTTGAAGGACAATATATTTTAATGCAAATGCAATGGGCTGGAACGACAGTATTTCTCCAAGAGCCTTAACTAGGTTACCGTGACCTCCAAAGGGACCAGACTTCTAACAGCAAAATTAGAATGGAAAGGTTTATGGCAATGTCTATGCTAATCAGCCATATTCCACTGGAGCGACTGTGTTTTGCATAGTGGCCACTTGCCACATCCAACCAGGGCATAGTTCCATCAGGTGACCAACAGGAAACAGTGACTCAGGATGCCAGGGAGACCACATGAAGGCAATGGGGTGAGGTAGGATGAAAGGAACCCAAATAAAGAGAATTTTTCAGCAGGAATTCTTCCACACACCTTTTCTGCAGTTTATGCTGCAGTTTATGTTGTGCTGCAGTAAAAATCCTTTGTTTCAAAGTTGCTCACAGCCATGATCCTTTGGGACCTGAGACAGGGATGAAAAAGGAGAAGAAGACAAGAAAACAGCTCTGCTCGAGTAAAGGTTTTGCTTCCCCTCTAATCTTTGCTCTTGGCTCAAGGTCCACATCCTACCACACTAAAGGGAAAATGCCACTTCTTTTGGCCTGGCCTAAGGAAAATCTTCTCATTCCCTATCTTGGTTTTATTTTGGAATTAGAGGAATGGACAAAAGTCCAGCTGGGAAGATACAACCCTCTGTACAGAGAAAAACCATGAAACAATCAGCTCTGACTTTCTCTAGTTTAAACCATAGGTGAGCCTGTAAGCATCAACAACCATCACAGACTGAAGATGTACCATGGCGCCCCTTGCTATTCACAATGCATCAAGCAAACTTTTAATGGTTTTCAAAAGACACTTTGGCATCTCCCCAGAAATACTGAATCATAATCACAAGGGGAAACGGAGGAGAAATGGTCCATGCTTTTAAGTAAGTCACTCAGATGAATCTGATACAGGACCAGCTCTGAGAATATCTGCTCCGAACCACACTGCCCTGCACACTCACGTGGAGGGAAGCACCACCCTGCCCAGCAGTCAGGGGCTACATCCAACACTAAGAGCTGGGACCCTGGGAGCCTGCGGACGTAGATGTTACCCTCTTGACACTGACCCCAAATGACATCAAAACAATGAATTTTCACATAGCACTTAGCATATGCCAGGAACTTGGACATATATTATCTCACTATAAAGGTAAATGTCACTTAAACATTTTAGAAATTTATTATTTAAGCAAGCTATCTGCAGGGGAAAAAATTTTTTTTAACAACAACATTATCCGTATTTGGACCACACAATCATGTTCACTCTTCACTTAAAATCGAGACAAAAAAAGTGAAATATTTTGCCTGTATAAACTCATCTGTTACACTTACCTGAGTGGTAGAAAAACACGCTAAATGACCCATCTAGTGTAAATTTAGTCTGTTCTTATCATCCTAATGGTTACTTTAGGCTGTGCCAGTCTTCCCTGAATGAACTTTTTTATATTTTATTTTCATATAAATTCTTCCTGCTTCTCCACCAAGATGAATTCTAGATATAAAGAAAGCGTAAAGGAGGAGACCTGCTCAGGCGGCATGCAGGACAGAGGGACAGCATCGTGTCTGCTGCGCTCAGGGATCACATCCCTTCTCCGCCTAGAAGCTGCTTAGCCTGCCGGCCACTGCGGCAGAGACGGAAGCTGGCATGACCTCGTCTGTCTTCTGTTCTCTGGCTTCATCCAGAACACAAGCCTGGCTGATGCTGGGCTACCTGGGTTTCACCTTGCGCGGTGCGGGTACCACATCCTCTCTAAGGTTTGGCTCGACACACGCTTTTCTTCCCTTAGTGCTATTTTCTAGCCAATGCTACACCTTCAGGTAATAAGTCCCTGTCAGACAGGCCCCCACCACATGGTCCTATCATTTTTCCTATCTATTCATGCCCTACTGCCACTGAAGGCCCAGGTCAGAAACCACCTTTCCCACATCACTGCTACTGTCCTGCTCTAATTTTTTTTTTTAAATCTAAGACCCAGATAGCACTTGACACACAATTAAGTGCATCAAAGTCTTACATGGATTTCGATTCAACTATCACCTGTGTGGATCACTGAGCACTAATGTCCACACTGCTCTGCAGGCTGTTTGAAGGAAGGAACCATGTGGAATAAAACTCTGTTCTGCTGGGCATGGTGTCACAAACCCATAATCCTAGCTCTCCTGGGAGGCTGAGGCAGGAGGATGACAAGTTTGAAGCCAGGCTGGGCTACGTAGCAAGTTCAAGGTCACCCTGAACTATCTAGGAAGACCCCCAAAAATAAAAATACAAAAAAATTTAAAATTCTCCTCTGTTAATTATAACAATAGATTCTGAAACTAAATGATATAGCTGTCACTGCTATAAGTCACATAAACTCACTGAGCTTCTGCCCACCCTGTGCCACCTATAAAATAAAGATAACAATACACCTACTCACAGGAGTCTTATGACAATGAAATTAATGTGTTTACAGAGTTCGGAACAGTCACAGATGCACAGTGATCCCTATATACAAGCACAACATTTTATTTTATTCCTCTTATCATAAAAGGATGAGTATAAAACTGATCCTTGTTCATGCTTTGACATGAACTATTTTCTTTTCAGTAGCTGGAATTTTTTACTTTAAATAATACTATTGCTAAGATGTAAAGCTAAATGTATTATTGTTGAATTTTTTTCAGATCTTGTGACAGTCTAAGAAATAATGTTATTGTAAAAATAACCCCCACCTCCAAATACATATCACTCACAAAAAATGGAAGTTGAGGAAGCCCTTATATCTTCTTGTTTCTTCCTGTAAGAAGAGAACATTTTGTTTCATCTTCTGTCTTTTGAGCATCACTATTACGGTTCATGTCTAGATGCCCCCTCAACTCCGCAAAGCCTCGTGTACTTTTAGATGGGGATTTTTTGGAGGAGGCTGGATCTAGAATTTGTGAGCGGTTCTTGGTTCAGTGCTGGGATTAAGACTGGGTGACCACTGGATCAGTCCACTGATTAGATTGATACCGGCCTAATGTCATCAGTCTGGATAAGATAAAAGGAGCAGAAAGAGGCTTGTTTCCCTCTGTCCTCTCTTGCTGCTTTTGCTGTTTTCCACCACCATGAATGGTAGCCCCCCTGGAGGCAGCCAATGATGGACTGAAACTTCTACAAACTGTGAACTAAATAAATCTTTCCCCCTTTCTCTTTGGAAGCTAGGTATTTTTGTCTCAGCAAAGAAAGAAAAGTAACCAACACAATCACAATACCTCTGAGACGGTAGCAAGTCAAGGGTAATTGCTTTCATTTCATTAACACATTAATTACACATATTAATGAGGTTCACTGTGATATTTCTGTATATGCTTACATATCCAACCACTCTCTCTTATCCTACCCCTGCACACACCCTTTCTAGTCCCAGTAATCACTATTCCGCTTTCAGCTTGACTTCGTTTCTGTATTTTAAAGAGAACATGAAATATTTGTCTTTTTATGTCTGACTTCTTTCACACTTTCCAGTCATTTCTCTACAAAATTTCCCTCCATTTTGCTGCAAATGATTCTATTTTCCCCTGCGGCTGATAATACTCCACTGTGTATATACCTCATATTTTATGCACCCACTTATACACTGATGGGCCGTTACGCTGATGCCATGTCTTAGCCACTGAATTGTACCACAGAAGATACAGGCACAAGTATTTATTTGGTGTGCCGACTTTGCTTCCTTGGATACACACCACGGTGTGAGATAGCTGGATCCTGTGATGTATCTATTTTTAGCTTTCTGAGGAGCCTCCTAACCATCTTCCAACATGATCATATTCATTTATATCCCCACCAACAGTGCACTGCTTTAATTTTACGGGTGACCAAAATGGGGTTCTGGAGGTTAAGAAGCTGGGCCACATCACCAATAAACTTAGAGCTCTTCTATTCCAACTGTCCATCAGTGCCTCGGGTTAGCCAGATACAAAACAATTTACCGCCCACAGTCTCACTTGATCCTTAAGGGAATTTCCTGAGCTTCTAAAAAAGACATCAGCATCCCCATTTTGCAGGCAAGGACACCCTAATGGCAGGAGTTACTGGAGGCAGAGACTGAAGTAGAAGCCAAGTCTTCTGACCTGAACCCCCCACCTCTTGGTACCCAGCATCAGCCTGCGGTCACACGGAGGAGATTTTGCTTCTGAGTTCTGTTCAGGGTTCACACAGACCTCAGCCTGGATCCCACCTTCCACGGCAGAGAACATCCTCCATGTCTCCATCATGTTTCAGCTATGCCGCTACTCCTGGCCTTTCTTCTTACGCGTGCTCTCACTGCCACGGGATCTGCTTTACCAGAATGTGCATTTGGAGGGGAACACTGCGACCTGCTCATGACTATTCATTAAGTTCCACCAAGGAGCCTGAAACCATCCTTCTCTGGGGAACAGAATTAAGATATTCCTGCTTCACTCCTAAGCCTGATCTTCTAACATAACATTAATCAGTAATGGATCTGGCATGTTGTTCTATTTTTCTGATTCTTACATCTATCTCTTAACTGATTTGGGGCTTACTGAGGAAAGGTAGGTATTATCTACTGAGTCCCTAAAATCTCAACAAATATTAGCTGTTGTTAGGATTATCAATTTATATAAAATTGCTTTGTAAACAGAATTAGCAGAGGTCTCTGGCTTCTCTGTATCCTATCAGAAGGCTGATGCAGCTCAAACCAGCCTGAAACACCAGAGATGCAGCTGACCAGTCTCTAACACTTGCAGACCTCAGATCCCAGAAACAGACTGAGGACACAGCTGACTTAAGACCTTGTTCTGTGAATGGCACATTATGATTAGGATTCAAAGCCCAGCTAAATCTCTGGTCCTTTCTTAATGTTCCGCTGAGTGAGTTTCACCTTGTGTGTCCCCAGGACTTTATCAGAGCAGATGGGGGATTCTAGAAGGGTGACTAGCCATCCAGTCTATTTTGGTGCTCCAATTCTCCAGCAGCCTGGCATCTGAGAGGAGAGAAATGGGGCTATGTCAGAGTACAAGTTAGCGCCAGTGGCAAGGGCTTCCACATATCTATTTCTGGCTGTCCCCTGATGCTGTGTCATTGGAGGAGCTGTGACATCACATTCTCTGCCTTTTTCCAAAGCCTGACACTACAGGTGACTCACAGAAAGTGGCGGCAGTGGCTGAGCCCGACTTAATATATACAGACTCAAGGAGTCATGCAGAGTGACCTGCACTGCAGTCAGGGTCATGAAGGCAACCGTAAAGTATGGGATCAGAAGTGATCTTCATTGTCCTCTGGAAAAGTATGAGCCCTTGCTCCACTGCGCCTGTAAGTGGGCCTCCAGGCTCTCCCTGTACATTTCAATGACACTGAAGACATTACTTCCAAGGCAGCTCTAGCAAGATGATTTACACCACTGAAATGAAGTATTTAGGCAAACAAAATTTTAACTTCTCACTCAATAAGAGGTCTGGAGGGAGGTGGCATCTGGGTTGACTCGAAACAGTCATCAAGGGATTAAGTTTTTTCCATCTTGTTGAAAAATGATTTTCTTCTTTGGCTCAAATATCTTTTTCTCATATCATATTGTCAGAAGCAAGATGAAAAGCACTGTACATGAAAGGCAGTCTCCTCATGTGTCTCCCTCATTTAATCAAAGTGGAAAACCTGCCTTGGGCCCCAGAGAAAGCCCCCTTGTGTTTCATAGGTCAGAACACGGCTGCATGTCCATTCCCCAACCAGTCACTCATGGGAGAGGTATAAGATGAGCACACTTGACCTCGTCCAACTGTCAGTTGTGCCTTGAACTCAAAACCAAAGCTCCATGAACAAAGAATATTTGTTGAACCAGAAAATGAAAAGTGGTCGTTAGTATAGGCAATCAGCCATGTCATCCATAGCAGCCTGGCCTCTTGCTAAACTAGATCCAAGTTCCTCTTAATACTGCTTCTCAATGATACAGCTCTCTAGCCACGATTCCACATTTATTTTGATTCCTCACACAGAATAGGTATGACAATTTCTACAAGGTCAACATATCTATAAACTGACCATGCAGTGGAAATCTCCATTTTTCTCAACTGTTCAGTGTAATACAAAGCTCTAGAGTCACACAGGGTTCCACACCCTGCTCTGCTATTTACTGGTTGGTTGACCTTGGGAAATATCCATAAACCTCTTTATACCAGCTTCAGCAACCAGACAATTAATATGCTAACAACGATTACCTCACAGGGCTATTGCGAGGGTTAAATAAGTTGATACAAATAAAACACTTGGAAAAATGCCTGGTATGTTGTCTCTACATTTAAGTGCCTTTTATTGTACCATAACTTTTAAAACAGTATTGCATTTATCTGTGTCTCCATCAAACAGTAGGAATAGGGACTTAAATCTGTTTCAATATTCTGTCCTTAATATTCTCTGCCTGTCTTCAACTTGTATTCATGCAGTTGATTTTTTTGAACTTGGATGGAAGGCTTACAATTAGCTCTCTTTTATTTCATGACAACACAAACGGATTAAAAGTATGCCTAGGACTCCAGAGAGGAGAAATGAAAACTATAAAAACCTTGAAGTTACCAGGTTAGATTGCTCTTCCCATTCCTAGTATCACCTTCCTCATTCCCTCCACTGCTACCTCTTCAATTTTTTCCATTAGTAAATCTGGTCTGTGAACCCTTTGTACCACAGCAGCATAGGGCAGTGTTGTGGGCTGTCTTACATTCCCCCAAAACTCATATACTAAAACCCTGACTGCCAGGACCTCAGAATGTGACCATAATTGGTGATAAAATCTTTAAAGGCACGGCAGAAGTTAAAATGAGGTCATTGCTGTGGATCTTAATCCAATCTGATTGATGTTCTTATAAGATAAAATCTGAACACTTACAGAGATACCAGGAGTATGCACAGAAACACACACGCATGGAGGTTAGACCAAGGAAGGACACAGTGAGAAAGCTGTCACCTGCGAATCAAGCCAAGAATCCTAGGAAAGAAATCTATTCCACCAACACTTTGATCTTGGACTCCCAGCCTCCAGAGTTAGAAAACTAAATTTATGCCATGTTAGCCACCCAGCCTGGGGTGCTTTGTTTTGGCAGTCACAGCCAGCATACTGGCATCCTGAGCTGGTTTCTGTTGCTTGCAGCTAAGAACCTCATCTTAGCTGTACCTTCTTTCATTCTCCTCTGTGTCCATATCAGGGCCCTCATGCTCTTCACCCTCCCTTCCTGTCCTTCCTTTAATCATTCAGAGCAACCATAACAATCATTTCTCTGCCTGCTTGTTCCTGCTTTTCCAGTTAGCAAATCTACAACAAAATCATCAGGCAGAGAGCACTGAAGTACACATTTCTGGGCTGGATCATAGAC